TGTCACCCAAATCCAGCCAAAAAACCGAGGATATAAAATTACGAATACGAATCCTAATGGTGCTAAAGATCCCGAGTTTGAGGTGTAACCGATTCACAGCAAAGCGGTTACACGAGACTCCCCAGACAACACGCAACGTAAGGGCTTTCCAGGCTCCGCCATCGGCGGCAAAGCTACGCGGTTTCTTGAGGTCATCGAGAGACGCAAGTGACGAAGGTCGCGTCCTCCGGTCGCAAATAAGCGGGCGGCGGCAATGTTTGCAGGGACGTTTCCTTCATGCGCAGCGTGGTCCAGTAGGCGCCAGCGCTGACGAGCAACAATTTCACATAGCGGGCGGGACATATGCGGCGAGCGTGTTCGGGTTATATGGCGTAGTTCGCGAAAAATGGAGCAACTCGACCCCGAAAGTGTTTTACCCGGCACTGGTGTTCGAATGGCAGATACCAAGAAGACGGTGCAGCTGTCAGCGATGGAAGCTGTCGAGGCCCGCCAGACTCGTTGACGTAAGGACCCATGTACCACATTCGTACGAGAGGACCGGGAGCACGTAGCATTTGTACAGCTGCACACAGTTGACTTCCGAGATGAGGCCCGGTGCATCCCGATCTTCCACATGGTGTTGAACGCCGCTGTCGCCAATCGCCTCCGAGCACGCAGATCGGCCGCGTCGTCGAGGTGGCTACCGAGCCTTTTGGTCATGTGCCACGCCATAGAGGCGGGTTACGTCGACCTGAATACCTGCGTTTCTTCTGTCCTGTCTTCATTCATCTTTAGATCCCTTTGGACGAAGAAAGATGGCGCCGCAGTCTTGACAGCAGCGTCGTGGCAGATGACGTTGGGGTCGTCAGCGTAGGCAACGGTGTGCTCGAGGATGTTGTCCACTCCGCTGAGCGTCTGCGCGAGGTAGGAACATGATGAGCAACAACGAGTCGCCTTTTGGTCTGCCGATGATGGTCTCAAACAAACTTATAAGCAATTTATGAGGATACAAGTCCAGGCAACAAGGCAATGTCCTAAGAGCATCCCCATCCTATTTCCTATTTTCTTGGAGAGCTGTGATTGGTGGATCCTATCATGAAATAGGAATTGGTTTGCTATCTCCACTTGTCCATCCAGTTTCTTCGTGCAATGAACGCGACAGATCGGCCGTCTCGGGCGTCACCGGAACAGAATATCACGTTCGCATTGCGCATACTTGCGTATAGAGCGCCCTTCGTGAAACGCAAACACCCTGTGCGTGAAAGCGAGCTATGACCTCGGTCTAAAACTGAGCCGCCTTCTTGTCGGGCGGGGCCTCTAATCGAGCTGACGCTCACCGACACCCAAAACCGACACCCAAAACCGACACCCAAGCTCGCGCGAGTGTGGCGACTGCCTCTGGTGCGTTGCTTGGTTTGTGCTCCTAGTGGGTCTAGGAGCACAAACCAAGCAACGCCCAGTACCTTTCTATAATCGATGCCCTCAACGCTTGTGGATGGATCCCAATCGAGGCTCCAATCAAGTCCACGGGATAAATAGGACAGTATTGCAATATTCTTCGGCTTTACCAATCAAATTGCCTAGAAATAGGATTTGGTTCCTATTTCACGACGATTTCGACTTATTCGGCTAGGACAAAAAACGGCGGAATCCCTATTTTTTGGAGAATAGGAGGTCCGGTGAGTATTTTATCCGGATGCCATTTCGCCAGCACCTCAAAATAGGGAATAGGACGTCGGGTGGAGATGCTATAATAGCCATGACATGAGAATACTTGTGCATTTACCTCGAGCTCCTTGCCTGGCAGGTCTGTTGGTATACTTATACTCCTCTGCAAACAAGATCATCACTGGTATAGAGCGCTCGAGGCAAGCAGGAGAGGAACCGAATCGAGGTTTTTATGCACCCAACTGTGTGGTGGGTTTCCGGATTTGACATCCGGATAAGCATGCGACATGTGCGATCTTGCGTGTGTCACCATCGTCTGGCTTCGGCCGCTCCGCCCCACTTGCGAAGAAGGTGCGATGTTGGTGCTCTTGACGGCTGCCGTGCTCATCAGCACTGAGAGCGTGCGCTCGGCGCTCGAGACGACCTTTGCATGGGGCGTCGCCCTCCTCGTGGACCACACGCAAGAGTTCTTCTGGGGCCTCCTGCTCCTCACGTGCTTTAGCCTCCTCAGCTACATCATGGAGCCGGAGAAGCCCAAGGGTCCGAAGGCGTCGCAGCCGCGCTGGGAGCTCTTCCGCCTCTCCAACTACTTTGTCATCGCCGTCTTTGTCGTGTCGCTCGCGACCCTCCTGTCCCACGAGAACCGCCTCGACCACCGCGCCCCCAAGCCCAATCCGCTCGTCCTCTACGCCGCCGCCGCCGCGTGCATGCTCTCGCTGACGTATTTTTTTGCCTTCTTTGCTGTTGGCTTTGTCTCGAACCAAGTCGCCGACAGCGACGACGAAGACAAGTGGCCCGCAAAGGCGCCGCGCAAGTGCCAGCCAGAGCTCGCACCCGTCGCCCAGCTTGCCGCGGACGACGCTGCAGTCCTCGACCTTCTTATGACGAAGGACCCTGTGACGGGTCGCCCGCGCATGGCTCTTCATGAGCTCGAGAAGAAGCTTGGTGACATGGAGCGCGCCGTCCACTTGCGCCGCGAGTACTTCAAAGCGCAAAGTGCCCTCGACTTTTCCAACTTGCCCGTGCAAGGCTACGACTATGCCAAGGTTGACATTGAGTTTGCAGCCGTGTGTGGTTGCTCATGCTACCTTTTAGATCTACGGTAGCAACTGTGAGGTTGTTGTTGGTTATGTTCCATTGCCCGTGGGCCTCGCTGGCCCAATCCAAGTCAACGGCGAGAATGTCTATTTGCCCATGGCCACGACCGAGGGCTGCCTCATCGCCAGCACGAACCGCGGTTGCAAAGTGCTTAGCATGGGCTCCGGCGTCCAGAGCGTCGTGCTTGCCGACGGCATCACACGCGCGCCATGCGTTCGCTTCCCCCGTGCGCGCGACGCAGCGGCGCTCAAGGCGTACCTTGACGACGCCGCCAACTGGACGGATGTCGCTGCCGCTTTCAACTCGACAACGCGCTATGGGCGCCTGACGTCGATCAAGACGATTCAGTCGGGACGCAACTGCTATGTGCGCATCGTGTGCAACGCTGGGAACGCCATGGGCATGAACATGGTCTCCAAGGGGACGCTGGCAGTGCTCGGTCATCTTCAGGTATGCCATCATTGTCTTTATATTCTCATACATGGTGTCGTAGGAGCGGTTCCCGGACATGGAGCTCGTGGCTATCTCGGGGAATGTGTGCACCGACAAGAAGAGCGCCGCGATCAACTGGATCGACGGCCGCGGCAAGAGCGTCGTTGCCGATGCCGTGGTCAAGGCCGACGTTGTCGCACGCGTCCTGCACACGACGGTCGATAAGCTTGTCGACTTGAACTTGCAAAAGAACCTCGTGGGCTCGGCCATGGCTGGTGCGCTCGGCGGCTTCAACGCGCACGCTGCCAACATTCTCACGGCCATCTTCCTCGCGACGGGCCAAGATCCTGCCCAGAATGTCGAGTCGTCGAGCTGCATGACGATGCTCGAGAAGACAAAGGACGGCGATCTCTACATTAGCGTCACCATGCCGTCCATCGAAGTGGGCACTGTTGGCGGCGGCACGCACCTCGGCCCGCAACAAGCTTGTCTAGGACTCATGGGATGCGCGCCGCACCAGGCCAACGACGACGCGACGTCGGAACAAGGTGCGCGCCGTCTTGCTTGCGCGATCGCGGCGGGCGTCATGGCCGGCGAGCTCTCGCTCCTCGCTGCCATCTCCACAAACGAGCTTGTCAAGAGCCACATGGAGCTCAACCGCAAAAAGTAGGCCCCGTACATAATTCCCTGTAACTCGCCTTCTGATTGGCTGATTGGGATCTTGACGGGGCGTCGTAACAGTCGCCATGCGGGCCGTGCACGGACTCTGGTTTGGCTCAATGCCGCGGCCGGTGACAGCTAAGGACGCCGCGGGCGCCGTCGCCATAGCTCGACGCTCTGTAAGATGTATGCTCTCGAACATCGCTTCATTGATCGTGCTAGTTGGCGCTGCAGCTCGCGGTATGTGCGCCGCAACACGAGCGGGTGTGGGGTGATGATGTGGCCACCATCCCGGGTGCACTTGCCGCGTACCTCGAGGTGCTCAACGCGCAAGTTAACGATGGACCATTACTGGAGGCAGACTTTTCGTGGGAGCACGCATGCGCCCAGTCCTTGCCGCCAATGTCGTGGCGTGACCGCGACCAAGCATTTGTCGTGCTCTGCCTCGGGTTTTTGACCGCGCTGGAAGCCGAAGAGAGAACCCGTGTCGCAGATGACGCGCTCGGAATCACCGAAGTACGTACGCATTGGCTTCACTCTCTTGCAAACAAATCGGTAGCGCTGGCGCCGCGCCGCGGGCTACTTTGGTGATGCTTCGCTCGGTATTTCCTTGCTTCGTCGTCGCCGCGAATTGAAGCAGTGAGATAGCGACGCTGCCTCATGCCCGCCTGTGGCAACAACTCGCAGTTGTCGCTGCCCATGCGTCCGAGCTGCGAAATGTCCGTATTGCTACTGCCTTTCATGAGCAGATGTGTGGCGCGTAGGTGGAGGCTGCGGAAACGTCAAAAGTGCAGCTGGCACGGTACCACTCGGCCGTCAGTCGAAGCGCTTATAGCGCGTGCGTCGCTGCATCCGAAGCGGTTGAAGCACTCCCACCCGCAGTCCCGTACGCTGACTCGAGTCAGAATGACTCTGACGACGTCACTTTAGCTTGTCGCACCAGTTACGCTGGCATGTGAACGCGGCCAAGGTTGCATGTCGAAATACGTATTGGCAAAACGAAGCCATCGTCTTTGCCGATGCGCATCAACCGCGTAAGATGCATCTGTGCGGATTCCGAAACTACAAGCCTCTTTTAGAGCTGGCACTTGTTTTCACGGATGCTGTCTCCAAGACGAAGCTGCCAATTCCCCCGCAGTACTCACACAGCGCGTGCCGAGCGTTCACAGCACTCATGCACAGCACGGTGAGCGCCCATCAAGAGCTCCTCCAGTGGGCTCTCGAGGAGAAGAGCCGGCTAAAAGCCGCTGTCCAAGCCCCACCCCTAGCACGTACGACTGCCGCTGCCAACTCTCAGTTGCGACAAATATGTGTTGTTAGATGATCAGCTCACGCGGTTTCTGTCCATTGCACCACTCTCCTTGACGTCCTTGCAGCCTTTCCCGGAATCGACGGCGCTCCAGCCGAATAATGAGAATCAAGCAGAGCCAAAGAAGCCCATTCCAGGACTCATGGTTCAACCGCAGCCCACTAACCGAGACGAGGCGTGGACATTGGCCGTCGCACCCGATCCCTCGTTAAGTGTCCTCCGAAACGTGCATTCGATGCCGTCGCTCACGCCCCGGGTTTGGCACATGGAAGCTCCATCATGTTCATTTCGAGCGTAGACTATTTTACGTTCATCGACGAGCATGCTGGAGCTGGCGCTGCCTGCGTGCACGAACGACCCTTACCATTGCCACCGATCACTCTCCGTCTTCAAGCGCAAGGCATGCGGCCTCTGTGAGCGCGCCTTTCCGGTATATTCCACCAACCAAGAGACTGTACTTAATGCCCGTAGGCAGGAAATCTACCTGGTGAGGTTGTGCGACGCCGCATCCTCGAGTTGCGAGTCTTTTGGGGCGTCGAGTCGGAGAAGAACCCCAAGCATGCGCCCGCGTCCTTCCTCTACCACACGGTTCGCGTCTGCTTGCTTTGCCATGAGATTCTCTCGGCCCCGCCCACCGCAGGCGCCAAACACGCGCTTGCAACCGAGGCCTCCATCACAACGCACGTTGGCCGCCTGCGCAAGCACAGCATTCTCACGACAGCAGCCAAGACGGATGAGATCGGCTACATGATCCACGAGTCGATTCTCAACGACGCTCTATTGTTGCTGGAAGCTCCTGGCCACCTCCACCACCGGCGGGACATTACGCAGCGCCCCAACGTACGCGCGACCATGAGCTCCAGTCTTCTTCTCGGCGTTGCCGCCAACGCCATCGACCGCAGCGCGACGCGGGGCATCCACACCCAAGAGGAGCTGGGTAGCCACTATTCTAGACTTCCAGAGCATAATATCGCTGTGTGTAGCCCCGTGGTGGGAAGTCGATCTGGGCACGCACTGCTCGATTTCGTCTGTTGAGATTTGGAACTGCGTCGACAGCGACCCGTGCGTTGCCGAGTGCCTCTTTCCGTGCCACATTGTGCTGCTCATGAAGCCAGGCCACGGACGCGACCTTCTCACCCTCACGGCCCTCGGCGTCGACTCGACCGTTGTTCACAGCGTAGTACGAGCACGAGCGGCCGCAGACCAGCAGCATTGATTTCGAGTGTGTAGGTGCAGCCTATTCGGTGGGAGCCCAAGGCAGGCAGCGTCGCCCGGTATTTTGCACGGGTCATGAACTCTCCCTCATTTCTCACGCACTAGCTATGTGCGCGTGGTTGCCAACAAGTGGACGTACCTCCACGTCGAGCGCATCCACGTGTTCGGGTCACCCGTCCAGCAAGAAGCCGATGTTCTCAAGAAGAAGCGACCGTCGTCGACGGGCACGTCGTCAAAGCTGCGTTTGCTCCGGAACGATCCCACGAGCGTCTTTAGCCGCCCCAAGAGCGCGGGCTTTCTTGTCCCGACAGCTAGCAGCCACGTGCGATCCCAAATCGGCCACGAGATCCGCGCCCAGCTCGACGCCGAACGAGCTTCATGCTTAGACACTTGATTACGCTAAACGAGTTGCGCTCGTGTCGATCATCGATCGCCGTCTATCTCAGGATGCCGTTGCAGACGCTCGGCGACGCGCACGGACCCGCCGACGTCATGAGCACGTGGTTCTTCCACTTGGCAACGCCGTTGGCGTCCGACGAGAGGTGCTACGATGATCCATCAATTTGCATCTGTGCCTGAGCAATTGCTCATCCTACCTCGCCAGCGACAACAACAACCTTCTTCTTCTCAACCTGTGCCGGCGTCCACGGCTCACCCGAGAGGCCTTCGTAGTGGATGCGCTCGCCAATCTAAATCACGCGTCTTGAGACGCAGCGTTTCACGTTCGTGTACCTTGGCGTTGGCAGGCGGCTCAACGAACGCCACGCGCTCCGACCCGTCGGCGTCGGTCGCAACGGCGCAGAGCACCATACCATGACTCTTGAAGCCCACGAGGCTGCGCGGCTTGAGGTTGCACATAACGAGGAGCATACGTCCCTATCGACAATGACGAGTCCGACCATGGATGGCATGTTGTCCTACCTGCATTTGCTCCAGCGAGTAATGCTTGACGAGGCCACTCGCAATCAGACGCGGCTCGCCCTCGCCCTATGCACGCCCAAAGAAGATCGCATTTCGTTCGCTCAGGTGGTGATGGGACAACGTACGACGTCGATCTCTTCGCAGTAGAGCCTACGCGACGAGGTGAGATGTGTTGATTCGAGTATATGGACACGTACTTGTCCGCCGTCTCGTGCTTCCAGACCTTGGTGATCTTGCCAACACGAATATCGAGCTTTGTGATCTCGGGCTGGTCGTCGGCCGCAGGCGCAGCCGCCGGCTTCTTGGCCTCTTTCTTCTGCTCCTTCTTCTGCTCCTTCTTCGGCTTGTCCGTCTTCGCCGCCTTGGCCCCAATGGTCTGGCCAGGTGCAAGGCCCAACGTGGCCTCGAGGCCCACAATGATCTAGCGCGATGATGAGCGGAAGCAGCCACGCAGCAGCCTACCTGGTCCAGCTGTGCCAACGACGCGCTCATGACAAAAATGACTGACGCAACGATTTTGTCCCGTTTTGCCCATCCGCGAAGCAGAGAGCACTTGATTTGAGTAGCATGCTTCGATTGGGGTAAAACCCAAACCTGGGATAAACCTAGCAAGAGACAGCATGCGACTCAATCGCAGCGTCCAGGGCGACGCGATTCGCGCATCATGATGCTGCGCCAAGGTCGTCTTGGTCTCGACGTTCTTGGCTGCGGCCACGCGCCGCCATGGTATCGGCAACACCGGAGTGATGGTCGAAGCTTGGTTACCGTCACTCTTCCCCGTCCCGTCGCTCGCCACTTCGAAATGAGCCGCGGCTGGGCACTTGTCATTCTCTCGCTGATCCTCTCGGCCGCTGCCATGTCCCCCAAGGTCGCGCCCGCGCTGGCCACGGCCTTTGAGACGACGGACCGCGTCAACATCATGGTCGAGCTTGACGGATCGACCGAGTCGGTCGAGAACCGGTCGTCGTCGGGCGACAACACCAACTACATGCACGACCTGCAGGCCTTCACTGCCGCCCGGCAGCAAGCCGTAAAGGACGTGCTCGCCGCTCACCCGACAGAGTTCTCGGGCGAGCCCAAGTTTTTCTGGATCACAAACAAGGTCTCGGTACCACAAGCATCCGCTGTCCTCGTCATGGAGCTCGCCGACCTTTCTTCCGTCGTCGCGATCACGGGCCAGCACATTGTTCACATCCAACCCATTTCGATCGAGCGCGAAGGCTTCTAATGCTGATCCAATTTATCTTGTTGCAAGCACCTCCTCCATGCGGTGGTGATTTTGAGAGGATGTAAGAGGTCGTCGTGTTGTCAAAGTGGAGCACGCTGGTTCGACGACGTTCTCAGCAGCTTGTAGCCTAGGCTTCGACTGCCCGTATGGTGCTCCGGCGCCAACACCACGGGCACTTGGCACGGTCGCTGGCTCTGCTCAAGCGACCTTTGGAGGCTTAGATTTGACGTCATTGGCACTTGCAACGGTGAGTTCTGGTGGATATGCAGTCGCATGGGTGTCAGCTCGGCCTTCCCGACCCGCGTGAAGCGACCGGGTTTTGGCACGTCGGGCGCCGCGACGTCCTCTCGCAGCTCGCACCCGACGTCACGCTTGGCGTGGACGACGACGTTGCCGTTAGCGTCCCGAAACCACGTCGCGTCGTGCTCGAGGGGTCGCAGCAGCCGTCCGACGGGCTTTTCTTTCGTCACACGCGGCGCCGAGCGTCGGCTTGGCGTCGAGGCAAGAGGCTTAGCGCCATACTGCTCCGGAACGTGGAGGCTTTCGAGGCGCCGAGCTCGGTTGGCTTTGGCTTGGAGGCACGTCGGATTCATAGCGGGTGCGACAGCCAAATCGGCTGGATTGAGCGGCTCGTGCAGCACCAAAATTGCATTGTCCAGGTCGTACTCGATAGGAATTGTGTCGGGCGGCGCCGACTCCTTGGTGGTCCCGCGCTGTGTCTTTGGGTCCTGCACTGTCGCCGCATCGGCTGAGGCGAGGTTGGTTATCCACGCCTCCGCGCCTGCTTGTTTCAGCACCGTCTTGAACTTTGTCTGCACGAATGCAAATGAGATGCATCGATGCATGACCCCACCTTGCAGATGCTGAGGAGCGTCGACTTGTACCGGAGAGCGACAATATCGTAGGGCAGTGGCGCGCGAGCGAGCAGGGCGTGAGCGCACAAGACGCTGCCTACCAAGATAATGTAGTTGGTGGGAATGGTGAAGTGGACCTGGGTCGCAGAGATGCTGCAGCGCCGCGTCGGAAGACCGGAGAGCAAATTGGCCTTCGACAACAAAGTAGATTTCGTGGGGCACACTGCCGGCGGCGAGCACCTAGTGCGCTCAATGGCGTCGCGTGTCATGCGATACACACCAACCTTTTGGCCCAGGACAAAGTGGCGCGCGGAGAGCAGCTGCAGGAGCGTCTCCCACGGAATCGTCTTCGCGATGTGGCTCAGGATTGGGATCGAGAGCACGACGTCCGTGTAGTGGACATGGTGCAGCATGCGCGCCAAAGTTACGTCTTGAGCGAAACCGACGCTATTTCTTATTGTTAATAAGACTCTCACGTCAATTTCGCTGGAATGGCGAGGCGGGCGTCGGCCGCGTTGCCCCAGCAGACGACGCTGCCCGAGTCGGACGCGATGCCACAGCCATGGTCCCACCCGAGGGTGAGCTCATCGAGGCGCAGGTTGGCGGGTACGCCCGTGACACCTTCTTTCATGCCCCAGCACACGGCGCGCTTGTCCTCCTAATATCGTCCAGGCTTGCGTTTGCTTACGCGAGGTGATTGCTACCAGAAGGCCACATGCCGAGAGGCGACTGGTGCTGACGAGCAAGTACGAGCCACTTGGCGCCTCGAGCTGTTTGCGATGGTTGTCGCCCCAGCACACGACCCCCTTTGCAACCGTGACACCGCACGAAAAGTCACCCGGCGCGGAAGACACTTGCACAAACTTGACGTCGTTCGGCGCTGTGCTCTGGCCCTACACACAACGCTGAGCACGATGCTGAGAGGCAGCTGCGTACGCGGTGGTTGGCGCCCCAGCATACCACAGATCCGTCGACCGCCAGTGCACACGAGTGGCCCTAGCCGCAAAAAGATGACGAGATGTCGCTGAAGCCGAGCTACCTGGCCGCAGCTGACTTGGACATAGTTGCCAGGCGGAGCGTCGAGCTGACCGTCGTAATTGGCACCTGCTTTCATTCAGAGGCGCAGCGAAGAGGAACATGTACCCCAGCACGACAGCGCCCCGTCCTTGAGAATGCCGCATGTGTGAAAATCACCGCTGCTCACTTGCACAAAGAGACCTTGGGGCGTCATGGCGTGGTTGGGATCGCCCCAGCACGCGACGGTCTCGTCGAGCTTGACGCCACAAGTGTGGAAGCGTCCGCTGCTCACTTGGATGAACTCGGACTACGCAGCTACAATGTTATGCATGCAGCGACACTTGCAGCTTGTACGTCGGGCGGCGACGCCTGGCCCATGCTGTCGTCGCCCCAGCACAGCACCTTGCCACCAAAGTCGGCCGCCGAGACCGAGTGGATCGCGCACGTGTGGCTGCTGCCAGTCGAGACCGTCGTGTCGTCAATGTCGACATGCGCCACGACCTCCTCGTCGTCGCCCGCGACTACGCGCAGCCAGAGACTCCATAGCAGTGGCCACGGTCGCGTGTGCATTTCCTTGCCCTTTGGATCCTTTGACGCTCCGGATTGGCTGCGATTCTGGCCAATCCAAAGCGGCGGATGAAAAACTCGGCAGCGACCGCGGTGCTCCTCGACTCGGCGCTCCTCGGCGTCGTGGCGTCCTTTCAAGGCGGCTGCGTCGAGGACCTCTTGCCGTACGCCCGCGACTACGCAGCAGCCTTTGCTCTTGACATGCCGCTACCGTCGTGCGCGAGCATCAGCAATCTGGACTACATGTGGGCGCGCACCCTCGTCACGGCGCTCGGCCGCGAGGTCGACCGCGCCCGCACGACCACCCGCCTTACGCGGTATTGCCCACACATGTGGACGGTCACATCTGTGAACCTCGCCGCCGCCCGCGGCTACCTTGATGTCTTGCAGGCCTTGCACGCTGCGAACCATCTCCAAACAAGCCCTGACGCCCTCAACGAAGCCGCTGCCAACGGGCATATGGATGTTGTGCGCTTTCTCCATGAGCATGGCCAGAGCGGATGCACTGTGCGGGCAATGAACGGCGCCGCTCAGTACGGACACCTCGACGTCGTTCAGTTTCTGGACTCGCACCGAAGCGAAGGCTGCACGGTCACCGCGATGAACGCTGCGGCAATCAACGGCCACTATGAGATTGTCGAGTACCTCCATATGCATCGATCGGAAGGCTGCACGACGAGCGCCATGGACGGCGCGGCCAAGAACGGGCATCTCTCTCTCGTGACGTTTCTGCAGACGCACCGAGAAGAAGGCTGCACGACGGACGCGATGGACGGTGCGCTCCTGTACCACCACGTGGACGTTGCCACGTATTTGCATGCGCACCGAGATGAAGGCTGCACGCCCCACGCCTTGTACGCCGCCGCGTACGAAGGCGATCTAGTCAACCTCCGCTTCCTCTGCGAAACGCGCCTCGAGCCATTCCGTCAAGACGTTCTGGACGCGGCCGTCGCCCAAGGTCACGTGGCCGCAGTCTCGTACTTGCACGCAGTGTGGCGCGTCGACGCCGTGACAGCGATGACCAACAGCGTCACGGCCCACGCCCAAGAGTGGCGTCGCCGCCTCACGAAAGCATAAAATCAAATTGTTGTGGTTACGCTCGCTCACGACAGCCACTGGGCAGCGTCCTTGTAGTAGTGAAACGACCGGCGGGGCCGCTCGCCAAGCGTGCGACTGCGCTTCTTGCGCGCGGCCACGAGACTTCCGCGAAACACCTTTTGGATCATAACGGCGGCCTTGTGCTGCGCAATGTACTGCTGCGTCGCCAGCTCGACGACCTTCTCGCCGACCGTGAGGCTCTCGCCAGGTACGTTGCGCTGCGTGAGCACGAGGAGGAGATCGCGGAAGCGAATCATATTGTCTTGGTACCTACTCCTTCGTGATGAGAAATTGAGTGATGGATCAGACGGACCGAGGACCACGCGCGAGCTGGCGGCGGTACGTGAGCTCGTCGAGGCGCGCAACGACCTCCATGTAGGCATCGTGCGTCTCTCGGTCGACGAGGCGGTCGCCGAGGTGCTGCTCGGACGACGCTTGCCAGCGCGTCGGCGACTGGAGGCCGAGTGGGCGCCGGAGCAGTTTGAGAAACCGGAGCAGCTTGCGTTTCGAGAGGTATCCGAGCGCTTGGTGGTCGAAGCGGCTCCACGTAAGGCGGAAGGCTTGGAGGTGGTCCATGTTGAAGCCGATTTTGGTCAGCGACTCGCTCTCCGACACGAGCGCCGCCGTGCTCACGTACGTGTCGAGGACGACGGCGACGAAAAAGTTTTGCAAAATCAAAAACACGAGCACAAAGAACGAGTAGTAGAAGATCGTCGAGAGCCACTTGGAGCCGCAGTCGGACTGGCCCTGCGCGTTGCGGTAGACGCAGTGCGGCTTGGTCACGCTGCACGCTCGGTATGCGTCCGACCTAGCCACCTACGTGATGCACAGCTCTATCGAATTCAATTACCAATCTTCGCCGGCCGCAAACTTGATAAAGGCTGTGAGGGCGCGCGGAAACGTGGAGAAGTTGAGGTTGGCGTCGAGGCCGTCGCTCCACTTTGTGAGCGAAAAGAGCTGCATGCCCAGGTTGGCGTAGATGAACATGACGTAGCTACATACTACCGTAAAAACACCGTGCATTCACGAAGACGCACCCGAGGAGCAGCGTGAGCTTGACCATTGCGCGCGTGCTCTCGAGGAGAGTCTGGAAGAGCGAGCTCAAGCCGCGAAAGTACGGGAAAAGCTCCAGCACGAGCGTGAGGTGGTTAAAGTCGAACGCGCGCGTCACACCAATGACGAGGACGACGGGTGACGTGCTCGAGACGGGGCCCATGAGCATGCAGATGACGAGGAAGGCGTTGAGCGCCTCCGAGGACATGCCGCGGGTGAGGAACTCGCGGACGCCGGTCGAGAGGATCGCGAGCGCGGCCTCGGTCCCGTAGAGGCATGTGAAGAAGTAGTGCGCAAACCAAATGTGCGAGGCGTGCGGCCCGAACGCAGCGAGGACGACGACGTGCGTGAGCACTGCGATGGACGAGAGCACGCGGAAGAGGCGGTGCTTGACGAACGTGTGGATCACTTGCATCGTGGTCGTCGACGGCTCGGGGAAGCGCGGCTGCAGCGCGAGGATGCGCTTCTTGTTGCGAAGCCAGACGAGCTGCATGTTGCTGAGAAAGATGGTGCCGTTGTGGCACCGAAAGTTGTTGACAATGATGCCCTACAGACATGTCAGATTCGAGCGTCGTAGCGCACGTACGGCAAACACGCGGAGGAGGTAGAAGCGGCTAATGAAAACGAACGCGACAAAGAAGAAGGCAAAGTACCCGGACGCGTTCTCGCGCGGCTGGAAGCCTTCGCCGACAATGTCCATGGCGCGGTACATGACGGCGATCCACGCCTTCTTGGAGACGACCGAGAAGAGGGTGCCGAGGGCGCCGCTGAGATCGTCAAAGTGCATGCCGTTGGGATTGGCCCACACGCGGGGCTTGAGCAAGTGCGTCGTCGCGTCAACGTAGACGCCGACGCAGTCGGTGGCCGTGAGAATTGCGGTGCTCGTGTCGGAGCAGGCCTTAAACTTGTTGGCGAAAAGCTGCTGCCCGACGCACGCAAAGACGAGGAAGAGGAAGAACGTAAGCACGATGCCGTAGCACACTTGCAGCAGCGAGGACATGAGCGCGTTTGTGATGACGCGGAACGCCTCGACGCCGCGGATGACGCGCACAGGGCCGAACGCGCGGCCAAGGTGAAAGTAGTCGCTCAAATCCGAGTGCGGAATGAGCAGGAGGAGGACGCAGGCCATGAGCACGACGATGTTGAGCTGGTTCCACTTGTCGTTGAGGTACGCGTTGGGCGTGAAGCAGAAGCCGTGCCCGACGATCTTGATGACAAACTCGAAGAGGAGCACAAACATAAAGACCCACTCGACGAGCGTCGTGAACTGCGTGATCGTGCCGCTGTAGAGCGGGCTCTGCAGCGTGATCAAGGCGCTCCGAATGACGATGCACACAAAAATGGACGCTTCCGTGCGCGAATTGAGCTCCTTGCATTTGCGCCGCACAGCCGAGTCGGGGCCAAAGAGGAAGCACGACACGTCGTTGTAGAGCCAGTCGCTCGTCGGCGGCTTGGGCGGCGACCGCTGCGGCACGGCGCTGTACACGACAGACGGACGCAACACCAAGCGCTTGGCCTTGGCGACAACGCACGGCACAACTGCGCAGAGCTTGCGCCGAACGAACGAAGTGGACGGTGTCGGCGACTGAGACGGGGTCGAACCCATGTACTGCACGTCCGAGGGAAACTCCTTGGCAAACTGCCGCCGAAACGACGCTTCGTCGAGACGCGGGAAGACGGCGAGCGTCCGCGTGAGGCTGTCGCGGAACTGCTTCCCGAGGCGCGTGCGCTTCTCGTCGTCCGTCAAGGCAAACTTTCGCAGGAGGATCACGATCATAAAGTTGAGCGTGATGTAGACCGAAAACACCGTGTAGCTCAAAAAGTACCTAGCGCGATGCAATCAAACATTGGGGTCGACAGAAGAACGTACGCCGTCGTGACAGCGTTCGAGGTGGTGTGCAGCGCCGCGTAAAAGATGCCCCACGTCCCGTGGCCACTCGAAATCTTGAAGAGCGTAAGCGTTGCGTCGGCAAACGTATCAAACTTGCTGCGGGAACCTAGGCATCGATGTATCAAATCATCAAGTTGCGGCGACGTACCGTCGGGGAATTTGCCGCCGTAGAGGTTCATGCCGAGGATCGCAAAGACGATGTTGCCGAGGAGCATGAAGAGCACGAGGTCGAAGAGCGACGGGAGACTCGAGATGATGGCTGTCACGATCTTGAGCAGCGGACTGCTCTGCCGGAGAATGCTCAGCGGCCGCAGCAGCCGGAAGATCCGGAAGAGGAACGCGACGCGCTCTTGCGCTGGCGCGTAGATCGACGTCGACTTGAAGAGCAAGTTGAGACCCGCGCCGACAACGATGGCCCCGTCAAACCGGTTCCACGGGTCTTGGAGGTAGGGCCAGAGCCCGTGCATGGTCAGAATCTACGTCGGTCGTTTGAAAACTTAAAGCCAGAAGGCGAACGTACGCGGAGAAGGAACTCGCAGAGAAAGATGAGCGTAAACCCGTGGTCGACGATCGAGACGCGCTGGTCGTCGTACCACTTGTCCGGGCTCTTCTCCATCGCGAGCAGCACCGCGTTCAGCAGAATGAGCACGTTCACAATGTGCTCGAATGGCGCGCTGCGTCCGATCGCGCGGCCAACGCGCACGACGCGGCCGTCACTTGCAAAGAAGAAGAAGACGCGCACGGGCCGGCGGTGCCGCAGCGCGCGCCGGACCGGCATGGCGTTGGCTTCCAGCCGCACCTCGGGACTCTCTTCGTCGACGGGCGGCGCGCTGCTGCTGGTCGGACCGTCGACGTCGCTGGCGTCGCTTGTGGACGCTGGTGCGCGGACCTCATCGGCCGCCGCGAGGCTTCGGACTTCGTAGTTGCGTGCGTCGAGAAACGTCTGGATGAGCTGCACGAGGCGCTTCGTCGCGTACTGCGCGAGGTTGGGCACGACGCTCGTGACGGGCGGCATTTGCGGTCGGCGCTTGGCCTTGTACGAGACCAAGCGCGTGGACTCAGCCTCGCGGGGCTTCTTGAGGAAACTGTGGCGGACGATCGCAATGAAGAGAGCGGGGATCATGTACGAGACAAACACGATGAGCACGACAAAGTAAACGACGCTGAAGTAGTACTTGGTCTGGATCGTCGCCTCGAAGGACGAGCCAAACCCGGCGCGGGACGAGATCATAAAGACCGTCAGGAACGCCGCTTCGAACGTGTGGAAGCCTGTGTAGCCAGCGTTCGGGCTCTGCATTGGCCGACAGACGTGGCCGCGAAGACAAGTCGCGACGGCGTCGGCTTCGGGGCGGCAGAACGTTGTGGGCATGACCTCGACGTAGACGCCGTGGTTGCTCAGGACGGCGCAGCGGTGCGAGAGCGCTTCGTCAAAGAGGTACATGCCGAGGACCGCGAAGAGCACTAAAAAGTACCCGAAACACACGAGCGCGTTCCCGACCATCGGGAGCGTCTTGAGAAACGCGTCGAAGAATTCCGAGAGCCCTTTGAAGAAGCGCAACGACCGCAGCGCGCGGAAGCTCCGGAACGCACTGAGGTTCCAGGCGCTGTAGAGCGGTAGACACCCGAGCCAGGACGACGCGATGAGGCAAAAGTCAACAATGTCCCAGTTGTCGTGCAATAACGGCCGGACGCCCTCAAGCGCCACGATCTTGATGGCCTGCTCGATCGTAAAGACCGCCGCCAGCAGTACGTCCGAGATGGAGAGCGCGAGCAGCAGCGACGTATTCGTCTCCACGGGCGACTCGAGCGCCAGCGTCGCGATGTTGATGACGATGCACAGCAGAATACCGTGGCCGAACGTCGGGTGCGTGTAGAGCCGTTGGCAAAAGACGACGCGGCCCGTCGGCAGTGGCACGGTCGTCGGGTCCAGCGTCTCGGAGGGCACCAAGTACTTGGTCATGACGTACGCGAGCATGTCGTCCGCGAGCCGGCTTGTCTTGAACTCGAGGTCGAAGCTCTCCACCACGTCGTCGGTCGTGTGCAGCACGAGCGAGAGGCAACGCTCGTCGCTTGCGGGCAGCTCGCGCGGCTTGATGTACTTGGAGGTGCGTAGAAAGTTGGTCGTCTGCCGACCAGGACGCACGCTGCTGATCGAGGCCACGGCGGCTGTCGCCGTCGTCACCTGAAAGTAGGGAAGTATCTCGGTTGTCGTCCAGACTAGGTCGGTCTCTCGCAGGTGTAGCATGCCCCGCTGCGGCTCGCCATCGGGCGCGTGGTAGGTCACGGCGAGGCCAGCGGCCAGCACGTGCTCGAAGCAGCGACATGCGTCGAGCGGATGGACCGGCGCTGCCATGGCCTTGGTCTTCCTTGGTTTCAACTCAACTGGGACTCACGTCGAAATAGCAGGCCGTTTCATGCAACCGGATACAGAATTAGGCGTCCGGATACGTCCGACCAGTATATTGCTGAAACCAGCTGAAAGCCGGCAAACAGGACTCGCGCAGTGTTGTGACGATCAGCCACGAATCCGCCGGTTCGCGAGCCGCTTTTCCGGCAATAAAAAGACCTTCTCGCGTGCTGCTGCAGTTGTCCAGTTCCTCAGTTGTACTGCTACGGCGACCTCGCAGAGTGATTCCTACTTGTGTTTGACTCTGTGAGGTTTGCAGAAAGTCGAAACCCGGCAACGAACCGATCGCAACCATCCCGCCGTTTCCTTGTCGTTTTCTGCCTGTCGACATGGCAGCGAAGGCGCGGAGCTGGGACTGGGCGGCGCAGCGTCTCTGGTCGGAGGACGCCAAGTGCAACGTGCGGCTTCCCGACACGGTGCTAATGGACGCGGAGGGCCGGCCGCAGCGGTGGCTCTTCGCCTCCAAGCACGGCCACGTCGCCAAAAAGAAGGACGACCACGTGAGCCCGAGCAGCATTCGCGACCGGTTCACTCGCGTCGCTGCGCATCCCAAGAACGCGCTGCGCCACACAGCGCACGCTTTCTACCGCAGCGGAAAGCGAGAGCTGCTGGACGCAACCCAGTTCAGCAACCTCCTCGACGCCCTGCATGGCGTGCCCAAGCACCGACCGAGCCTCGCTGGCCTCGTCGCCTACGTTCACAGCAGCACCGAGAACGTGCTGGTCGAGTTCCGAGCCAATCACGGCGTCTCAATATCGAGCCATGACGTGGCAGGGCGCGCGAGGAAGGAGATCGAGCGCGCGACGCTGGACGTCGTGAGCTTTCTCCAGACAACGGCCCAGGTACTTATCGTTTGGCGAATATTATCCGACTGCGAATCGTAGGTGTCGATTACGAAGCTCGTTGCCGAGTTTGTAGTCGACGACGACAACGTCGTGTGGCTGTCGCACGTGCCGCAGACGCTCGTGGAAGCGGCGCCCGGAACGCAGTCGCTGCCGAGCTTGGCCAAGACAGACGCCCCGTCGAGCGCCAAGTGTGCAGGAGAGTTTTGCCGATACACAGACGCCGACCTTCCTGGGTACGTGCGAGTATGCATCCTCAAGTGCTAAGGAGCCACCAAGGCTGTATACGGCACCGCCATTGACGCCGCTGCCGCTGGCCGACACGGGCCAGCGCACCAAGATTGGCTACAACAACATCTTGCTCGCGCGCGCTGCTATGGGGTATCTGCTCTCGCGCTCGGACGACGCCGCGGGGTGGGATGCTCTCGACGCTGCTCAGCGCGCAGAACTCGGGCAGTCGAACCCGTCGCACTTTTACAAGCAAGTCGGCGTCTGTCCCAACTGCCACTCGATATATGCCCAGCTGCAGACTCTGCGCCACAACCGCTTTTGCCACGAGAGCGACCGCCCAACGTCGTCGATCAAGAAGAAGAAGAAGGCGGCGATAAAAGCCAAAGCGACAACCAGCAGCAACCTGAGCAACAACCAGCAGCCATCGGGTACGATTCGGTCGCTGATAGCCATACATAAGTGCTGTAGAGTCGCTCTTGAAGTTCATGGGCGTGGCAAAGCCTGACGCAGATGCGCACGAAACCGCGTTCCTTGCAGAGCTCCATCGACAGTCGCAACTCCTCGAACCGCTCTCGGTGTCGGCTGCATCGTCAGCACGGCTACCCGAAGACGACGCAGCGAGCACGACCGAAGCCCCTTCCATGGTCAAGCGAAAATGCAAGAAGGGTCCACCGCGTCCCAAGGACAACCAAGTGCTGGCGCAGTTTGAGGCCGAGTGGACCGCAGTCGAGTCCGCCAACAAGTCTCTCGTGGCCGAGAACGCCCGACTCGCGGCGCGTCTTGCCGATGTGGAAGCTGCGTGCGTTTTTCCTTTTCTACAATCAAGGTATCAACCGGTACTTGAAATAGGCGGCAGCAAGAGCAGGCGCAATGGACGACCGATCGTGCACAGCTGCTCGAGTCCAACGGAGTGCTTGAGAAGCAGTCCAAAGCGCTCGGGAAGCGGCTCAGCACCCTCCAAAAAGAGTTTTCAGATGCCATGGCGGCCAAGGACAACGAGTGGACACAACGACTCTTGGAGACTGAGCAACTCTACTCTGCCCGAACAACGCCGCCACCAAGCCGGTCCGTCCATCGCGAAATAGACCGATTTACGATTCGCATTGGTAGGGAGGTGGCCAGTGGCAACCAACTGAGCCTCATTGAGACCATTGAGCAGCTCTCGGCGCAGCTCGAGGTGGAGCAGCGCGAGCGAGAGACGGACCGACAACGGCTCGCTGCAACGCACCAAGCTGACGTCCAGCGGGTGCACGACCGCCTCCAACTCGAGACCGAGGCGCTGCGGATTGGCCACCGCCAGCGTACGCCAACCACGGCTCATCATCTAACTGAGACGGAAATCTTAGAGCTGGATACGATCGAAGAGCTCAAGACACAGCTGCTAACGACGTCGCATCAGCTGCAAGTCGCTCAGGCGCAAACCAAACAGGCGAAAGCAGCGGCTCTCGACGCCCAAGTGGCCGTGTCGACCCTCGAAGACAAGATTGTGGCCTTGGAAGCGAAGAGCCCCGCTCTGCTTCCGACGACTGCTGCTGTCGACAGTGCTGCGACCGAGAAGCTCCAGCACAAGATCGAGTACCTGAAAGCGCAGCTGGCGTCCGAAACGCGTTGTAAGGAGGAGCTTGGTGCAACTGTCGCAACGCTGACGGCCAACCTTGACAGCCTCAAGCGCGACCGCAAAAAGCTTTCTTCGGACCTCGACGAAGCGTAAGCAGGGCGCTATCAAATGATATCTCAGAGAGCTCTGTAGGCACCGCAAGCAACTCGAGAAGGCCGACGCACGCTACCGCGCAGAAGTTGAGACCGTCCAAGCGGCCAATGCGGCGCTGCAGTCCAAGCTGGCGACGCTCCAGGCCAACGTCGCTGACCTCGTCGCCGACCTTGCAGCGTCGCGCAACAGAGAGGAAAGCGCCAAGCTCTCGATGGAGAAGCTCGCAAGCGAATCAGTGCGCCTGCACGCGCGCATCGCCGAGCTCGAAGCCACGAACGAGGAGCTCCAAGAGGCGACAAACGGCACCAAATCGTCGCTTGAAGACGCAACGCGAGCTACGATGGAAGCGACGCTTCGCCGTCTAACGCACGAGCGGCAGTACTTGAAGAGCCAGGTACTCGCGCGTCTTGTGCGAATCACCATAACTTTACCTCTAGATGGACGGCGAAATACGGCGCAAGGACGACGCAGAGGCCAAGGTGCGCGAACTTCAGGCGCAGTTGGCCGACGCTACGACGTCAACGAAAGCAGAGGTGATCGCAGCCAAGCAAGCGGCTAAAGAAAAAGAGGCAGCACTAGCAACGGCACTGGCCAAGCTTGAGGAGACGCAGTTGCTTACGCAGGGCGAGCTCTCGAGCACAAAGCACCAGCTCCACGACGCCAAAATCGCCCTCATTGGCGCGCGCGATGAAAGCCAGCGTGCACGTGCCGAGCTTGAGACGCAGCGCGCTGACCTCGCGCACCTGAAATCGAGCCTCCTGTCGACGCGCGAGGAGCTTTTGAAGGAGCGAGACCGCAGCAAACTCAACGCAGAGCGCCAGACGACGTCGCTTCAGGCCATCAAGGCGTCACTCGTCGAGACAGAAGCGTCCAAAGCTGCCGAGATTGTGGCGCTGCACAACGAGCGCACGCAGCTGCGCTCGACCCTCGCGGAGGTTTGCATCTCTTCATTTTGCCGAAACTCACGCAAGTGGGTAGGCGCACAGCACGCAGCTCGCGCTCGCTGCCTCGCTGCAAGCCCAAAGCGTGCAGCAAAAACAGCAAGTCGCACTCTTGCGCGTAGCGCTATCAACAGCGCACCGCGAGGCGACGCGGGTGTTGCGACGTTGGGACGCCTGGACACGCCTCGTAGCCTGTCACCGCGTCCAAGCGTCTGGAGCGCAGACACTCAAGGACGCGCTGCAGGCTCGAGAACTCGTGTGGCACGACCGCCTGTCCGTCGCCTGCGCTGACGTCCACGAAAAGTGCACACTGGAAAGAGACTTGGCGCTGGCGGCCGTGTCCGAGCGGCTTCTCACGGACGCTGCCGAAGCCGCCCAAGTAGCAGCGCATGCCCACGCGCAAGCTCTTACGTACGTGCACTCTACTGTCCAGTGCTGGATGTTGACGAGGGCACAGGGATTGCGAGGTTGCGTCGGCGGCCAAATTGGAGCTGATCAAAAACGAACTCACAAGACTGCACGACGCCGAGGTGGAGGCACTGGAAGCCAGTCACGTGCAGGCCATTGAGGCTCTCCAGGAAGCCGCTCGCCAGAGCCAAGACGAGGCGGACGCAGCCATCGCGCAGCTCGAGGCCGAACGTCGGGTGCGGGAGTCGGAATTACAGAACGCTGCGAGCGCGCGTTTGACGCAAGCGCTGAGAGAGATGGAGTTAGCCCACAGCAACGATCTCCGAGAGGTCCAAGCTGCGGCAGCGACACATCATGAGATGATAGAAACGATGCACGCCGCAGCCTTGAGCGAGGCAAGAACCGCGGCAGAGGCTCTCTTCGACACCGAGCAAGCTCGATGGGAGGCTATAGCTTCCATGACTGGCGCTGACATCGAAGCGCGTTGGGTCGCAAAAGCCCAGAGAGCGCTGGCGTTGACCCAAGACTCACTCTTGCACGACCAAGCCACAGCCACGCAAGCGCTCATCTCGCAACACAACGCAGCAGCCGCCGATACGGTCGCCCACTGGACGCACCTGTTGGAAACTGCGCGGACGGAGCACGCGACGGCCACTGCAGAACTACGCGCCAATGCCGACGCCAAGGTGAGCAGCGCCCAGTCCGTTGAAAAGTCTTCACCTTTCCCAGCTCGCGGCCGAGCTCGAGGCTTGTCGGCGCGAGATGGCCGAGCAGAAAGGCAACGCTGTTTTGACGACAACTGCCAAGTGGCAGCGCGCCCTTGCAGGTACTCTGTCGTGCACTTCAGAACCAAGTCATTCCAATCCCTTATAGACACCACCGCCCGGATCGAAACCGAAAGAAAGGTGGCCTATGACAAGGGCGTGTCGGACCGCGAGGCCGAATGGCAGCGGGCTGCTGCTCTCATCAAGCAAGCCCAAAAGGACGAGGTTGCTCACGAAGAGCTGAGTGTGAGTTTACTACTATCTATGACTAGGTTGGCGCACTGGAGCGTGACTCCAAACAGGCACTTGCCGCGTGCGAGGAGCGGTTCGGCTTGCTATTGGCTGCCAAGACGCAGGAGCTACAGGCGGCGTGCGCTGCCACCCTGAACGCAGCAGCTGCGACCGCCAAAATGGAGCAAGAACATGCGATCGCTGCAACACGCGACGCAGTCGCAGAGACAACCGAAGCCCGCGTCGTCGCTGAATGGTCCAATCGCATGAGTGCGGCCGCTGCCGCGAGCGACCAGCAGCTGCGCGACGCCTGTGCCGAGGTACAAGCACTCTGTTCAAATGAGGCGTGACGTGGTGGTGTAGCTCCAAACGACCATGCAAAACGAAGCCGAAGAGCAGCTTACAGCTGCCAAGACGCGGTGGAGCCAACTGAAAGCTGATGAAATCGCTACGCTACGGGCCGCGTTACGCAGCGACCACTACCAACAGCTCCAAGATGAGCTAGGAAAGGTCCGGCGTGCGCATGAAGCGCAGTTGGCACAATTGCAGGCAGACCACAGTGCAGCCTTGGCCTCCGTAGGATACACAAGTGCAAGTTGAGGGGTTCATGGTCGGGATAGGCTACCGCGCAGCTGCGAGCTGACGCAGACACGGAGCTCCAGACGCGGCTGCTAGCCTGTCAAGAGACCGCCAACCAGCAACACGAAGCAGAGATGGCGCTCGTCCAAGAAGAGAGCGAGAAGCTCATCGACAAGGTCGAGATCGCCATGCAAGCACTCAAAAAGCAAAAAGAGGTACCACCGCCTCCTTCTGCGCTCGTTTCACGTTCTGCAGGCAACGGAGACGGAGCTACAGCGAGTGACGCACGCCCTTGAGGAAGCGGAAGACGCGGCGTTCGATCTGCAAGAAGAGATGAGCTCGCTCAAGAAGAAATACGTCATGCGGCACCTTCTCATGTTACATTCCGGGCTGCAAAAGATGCAAATCATGGAAGATGAGCTCGACACGGTATCTGTCGTGTTTTGCATGCCAATTGGCCATCTGGGCCATGTAGAAAGAAATGGAGAAGGCGGCCGCCGATCGGTTGTGGCAAGCCAAGCTGGACACCACGACCAACGACTTGTCGCGCCAGCTCACACAGTCCACGACCACGATCGACAAGCTTCACGAGGCAAGTACCCACAGCCGCTATGATGACTCACAGGCGCGCATCAGGTCTACGCCACAGTGTACGAGACCTTGGTCAACTACCGTCGCGACGAGCTTGTCCAACACCGAAGCGCCAGCAATGTCGTCACAAGTGAACTGGACGTTTTGCACGCCCAGATCGATCAAGTGCTTCACAGCAAATCTGAGAGCGATCGCGAGATCGAGAAGGCCCAAGCAGACCTCGGCGCCCTCGAGGACGAGCTCAGTGGCATCCAACTTATGAAGGACGGCCACGTCAACCAAGCCCAAGTCGCCAGAAAGCGCCGGCTGCATCAAGAGACGGAAGCGCTTTTGGAAGCCATCGACTCGAAGAAAGCCAAGGTGAACAATCATATGTCTCTCAAATGCTCGACGGGATCTAGGCGCGTGGCGTCGAAGTCCAGCTTAACGAGCTCTATGGGCTCCAGCGCGCCAAGGAAGATGAAATGAAGGGCCTCGAGCGCCATCTCGTCACGATCCTCGTCGAGCAGCAGAAACAGCTTCTCACTCTCGTCTCGTCCGTCAAGAGCATTTCCGCCGTATAGTTTAGTGTCATATCCAAAATAGAAGATAGATTGTGTCGACTCTGTTGGAAATTCCGGATTTTCCCGCCATAAATGAGCCAATCACATTCAACCGTGCCTGCGCTGCCTTTTGTGCTAAACGAGAAACGCTGCAACTATTTCAAGTACCGACCGGGAGTCCAACGTTGTATGGCTCACAATCGCGCCAAGGTACTGCGAAGACTCCGAACAACAAGCTGCGGCAATAAGAAACTGAGGTCTCTGTTCCACCTGTCGACTCGGAGCGCTTCTGTCGAAGGTTTGCGCCGCCGCCTTTTTCTGGGAAACGGTCGAAAAGGCCCCGAGTCGTTCATTTGCAAATAAATGGCAGACGAGACGGCGCTAACGCTGCTCCTTGTCTTGAGCATCCTCGGCGGTCTCACGCTGCTCGTGTCCTGCTACGTACGCTGGATTCTCATCGCCACAAGCAAGCGCGTCGACGTTGTTCATAGCAAAGGGTACTTGAACCTTCCAACGGCCAACCACCCGACCATTTACGACCACATCTCGACGCTCGAGCTCCGGCGTCCGGACGACTACTGCATCACGGTTGCGGCCTAAGGCATCTAGAGACTAACTGCACATCAATTATTTAGAGTATCGATTTGTGCCTCATCTTGCTTTGCTCCCAGACAATCGAGATCCTGTCCACTCGCTCGCTCGGTTCAACACGACGTAATTCCTAGGATTTAGCTCTGTGGCTGGTCAAGTTGTGTTGAACAGGATTAAGAATAATGAAGTGGACACTGCGAGCATCGTATGCAAAGCCGAAGCGCCGGTCCGTTATTGGCGCAGTGACGCGACGAAGTCGTTGGAGAGCTTGAAGTAGTCGTCGCCGGCGGCCTCAGGCGAAATGGGGAGACGCTGAGGGCTCTTTTGCCCGCTGCTCTGGCTCTCGCGCTTGCTTGCACGCGGTGACTTGGCTTGGATGTCAAGCGTGTTGAGCTCTAACTGCCGCATGGTTGAGAGCTGGATCTGCTTCTTCTTTTGGTCGTCCGAGAACATGTCCGAGTTTACGATACGCTCAAAAAGACTGCCCTTGCACGTCGTCGCGACGTCGTAGAGCTCCTTGAATTCGGGGTGGACCTTTACCAGTTCCTGCGCCGCGGGAGTCGAGAGCTTGCGAAAGATGTCGGGCGTCATTGGTAGCGACAGCTGTCCCGGAGCTTTGGTTTGCTTCGACGGCGAGCTCAGGCTCGCATTGCGCGCAGGGCCTTTGGGCTTGAGGACGGTTTCGAACCGAAGGCGCTGAAAGTCGCTTTGCTTCTCGAATGCGTTGATGATCTGCTGCGCGTCTGTGGACGTGCGCAGTAGGAGCTCCCTTAGCAGCTACACATACAAATTTTGAGTTTAGGTTGCCAGTCGAATGAAGTTGTATACTTGGTTTTCGGTCAGCAGCGCTTGACACCCTTTACAACTCGGGTGGTCGCAGTCGTCCTCTTCAGCGGCTGCAGCGTCAATGCTCAGGGACTCGCGGGGCGAGTGCAAGAAGGCTTCGACGTCCACGCCTGGGATCTGTTGATTTCGGGAAATGAGTTTGGGAGAATGATTCTTTCAACTTGTACCTTCTTTGTAATGATGGACGCGCTCTTGGGCGTCGAAGGCTGGGCTCGTGCGAGCATCGTCGGCGGTTGGTGGGGAAAAGAATTATATCTCAACGTTGTCGCGCCAATTCGACTTGACGTTTCAACGGGAGAAACCGACCCAACGCCACGGGGCGCCACGTTGGACGCCGGTGGTGAGCCCGAAAGGCAACAATTGGAGCCGTTGCCGTACGAATTGTTGCTTCGAGTATGCTACAGGCATGTAGACTACTGCCGCATCTCCCCATGCTTCATCCCAAAGACTCGCCACCGAGTCAATCGTTTGGTCCATTTTAAATCGGATCCAAAAACACCTTTTTACTTTGAGCCCTACAGAAAGCATTTTGAGGATAGGATACACCAACTGCAAGGCGTGCATCCGGCGTCGCTCTCAAAACTTCTCCACACTCCATGCGACGGCACACGAACCTCGGTGCCGTTGCGCAACCTAGATACAAAATGCACTCGGTGAGCTCGCCTCGCATAGTCTCTACTTTCCTCACGCGTCGACTATGTTTCGCGCGTTTCGGGCCAATGATCCTGGTGTTGATCGGTCGTGTTCCTCGCTCCAGAAGCGACTTCAACCTCCGGCATCTACTAGTACGCCAAACCCACTGCAATTGGTTTGCTCATTGCTGTACAGTCTAGAGTTGGCTATGCCTTCTGCACATACCAGATCTGAGTTTACCGTTGGAACCAGTCCACGGCCAGAACGACGCCGACGTCGACCAAGCACGCGGTGCCACCGAGGCGACTTCAACGTCGCGTCGCGGCAGAAGGCGTCGTGTCAACACCCGACGCACTTTATCGAGTGTTTCTGGTGATTGCGTATTTTATGGTAGCACAATAAGAAACAAGCATACACATATCAAGATACGCGGTGAGGATCTCAACGCACCATTACGTCATCGCGATGTGGCACGATCGTTCTTCTTAGGTGCGGTTCGGATTACCGAGTATATTGTATGAGGTCAAAAGCGTACTTTATCGGGCGCGCACTTGAACGACTGTCGCAGATCTTGCGATTCTTGTGGCATCCGTCGCGCATGGAGGTGTGTTCATAGCTGGTTTCGCCGCCTCGTGCAGAATGCTTCGGTCGTCGATCTCTCGCGTGCGCCGGGCGTTCTCGACGTCGTCGTACCTGCAGCGAGAGACGAGCTACCCGGTGCAGAAGATCAAGGTCGTGCTCCTCGAGAACATCCACCCGCGCGCAATCGAGATCTTTGAGAACGAAGGCTACAGCATCGAGACGTACAAGGGCGCGCTGGGCGGCCAAGAGCTCATCGACATTGCCGCCAACGCCAACATCCTCGGCATCCGCTCCAAGACACAGCTCGACCGCACCTTCTTCGATTCGATCGGGTGGCACGAGCACCGCCTCTGGACGATCGGCTGCTTCTGCATTGGCACCAACCAGGTCGACCTCGCAGGCGCTGCGCAGTACGGCGTACCCGTCTTCAACGCGCCGTTCTCCAACACGCGCTCCGTGGCGGAGAAGACGATCGGCGAAGTGCTTTGCCTTCACCGCAAGCTCTTTGAACGCTCGACCGACATGCACGCCGGCATCTGGAAAAAGTCGGCGACCGGCGCCCACGAGGTTCGTGGCACAACGCTCGGCATCGTTGGCTACGGCCGCATCGGGTCCCAAGTCTCGGTCCTCGCGGAGCTCCTCGGCATGAAGGTCGTCTTCTACGATCCGCTTAAGTGTCTCCCGCTCGGCAACGCCACGCAGCTCGACTCGCTTCAAGACGTGCTCGCGACGGCTGACTGCGTCACGCTCCACGTGCCGGCGACGAGCTCGACCAAGAACATGATCAACGAAGAGACGCTGCGCTGCATGAAGGATGGTGCTCTCCTCATCAACAACGCCCGCGGCGCTGTCATGGACCTCGACGCGGTCGCCGCTGCGCTCAAGTCGGGCAAGCTCGGCGGGGCGGCCGTCGATGTGTTTCCGTGGGAGCCGGCCAAGAACGGTGAGCCCTTCTCGACGCCGCTCCAGGGCATTCCGAACGTGATTTTGACCCCGCACATTGGTGGCAGCACGGAGGAGGCCCAAGGCAACATCGCGGTCGAGGTCGCGACCAAGCTCGTGCGCTTCATCAACGAAGGCTCGAGCATTACGGCGACCAACATCCCGGAGGTCGACCTCGGCCTCACGTCGGCGGGCAACATTCGCATCCTCCACATGCACCACAACGTGCCCGGCGTCCTCAGCAAGATTCACGCCGTCCTCTCCGACTATGGCATCAATGTGAGCGCGCAGTTCCTCCAGTCGAACGCCCGCCACTCGTACATCATCCTCGAGGTCGAGCCATTCCACGCCAAGCTCGTGACACGCGAGCTCAAGAAGATCAAGGAAACCATCTTCCTCCGCACCCTGCTATAAAGATAACTAAATACCCTCAATTATCTTTTCTTCCAAGGCTTGCGCAGCTGCTCACGGTGTGCGGTGCCAGAGTGGTTGCAGTCATGGGTGGTCAGCCGCCCAACAGACGGTGCCGAAACACGTGCTCACTGTGGGTGTCCGTTGAGTCTGCATATCGCCAAATTTTGTCCAATGCTGACAGTCATATCGCTTGTTTGCCCTGCGAATTCGTTTGCTCCACCGTGGGAATCACAAACCAAGGAATAAATTACGACAGAAAACACATCGAACGGAGAGCTGTCTAGACGGCGACAGCGGTCTGGGCGGGGAAAAAGTACAGGTTCTTGCGGTCCGACTGCCACCCGCGAAGGTTCATTCGGCGACCGCTGGCAGCGCGGTGGAGCTGACCGACAACATTGGCGTCAAGACCCAAGAAGGCTTCAATGGCGTCGAGCACTTTGCACTTGGCGAGCTGCCAGTTGGGGAGGTCGACCGAGCTCGCGTCGGCGCTGGCGGCCTCAAACTCGGTCTTAAAGTGCTGCAGCTTGGCCAAAAGCGACGTAAGGAACTCGGAGAGGTCGCGCTTGCGGTCTTCGAGCACCTTCTGTGAGTGGCTGAAGAAAAGCGTCTTCTTGGGAAAGTCCACGGACCGCAGAAGCGCGTGCAGCGTCCAGAAAGGGCACGAGCCCATGACGCAGTCGCATGCGGCGCCGTCCGCGGCGTCGGTGCTCGCGAGCAGCGACTTGTAGAGGCGTCGCCACTCTGAGTAGGTGCGCGCGACGAGGTGCGCCGGCGCCGACGCCCGCGGCAGCTGGATCGAGATGACGTACTCGGGCGACTTGACCTTGTCGTCGTCGACGCGCACGATCTCGGCCGTGATGTCGCAGAGGACGCTCGAGTCGGCACGGTTGAGCCGCATGCAGCTAAGGACGGACGAGGCTCGAGACGCGCGCTGCTGGTTCATGCTTGATGTGGGGTTGAAGCGGCAAGTTGGCAACTGCTGCGGATCGACGTCATTCTTTTGGCAACCCTGCGCCATCCGACGCCGTGACTAATGCGATTCCCTTGAACCAGACGGCGAGCAACATGTGGCTCCCAGATTCGCACAGATGAGTACTCTTTGCTTTTTATCGACGCCGCGATTGGTCGATGCGAGGTGCAGGTGGGTGCTCGCTTCAAGTGCATGTGCGGGTAGCTGACGTGCGTATGTGGCACGTTATCGCCGTGCGGTGAAGCGTCCTGTCCGTGCACCTTCCCAGCACGCTGCGTCATGCTGCTCGAGCCTCTACAGAGCGCCCAGCTCGTTTGTTCCTTGCTGACGCCAGAGGCCTCAGTGGGGCAATTGCGTCTCACCCAAGACGACGCATGGGTCGACGGGTCCCACAGCCGCGAATCTAATCGGCGGCGTCTGGACGTGACACCTGATTCCAAACGCACGCTCCCCTTCCGCAAGCGATCAAAATGCGCCTATGCGGGCGCAAAGAGGCGGCAACCGACGGCAAGATGGGGTGGCATCGCCCGAGTAGCTTTCGATTACAGCACCAAGTTGGTTGTAACGCGCCAAATTGAGCTGATAGACAACGGCAACGCGCTCACTTGTCCGCGAACGCGATCGAAGCGGCTTCCTGTTTTTACGTTCGTGCGCTGCGGGGCTGCGTAGACGAGGAGGTACGGTGCCATCACGTCGTCCTATCCAGGTGCGTCGTCATCGACCAGTCGCCACGACTCTTCTTGGACCATATTTGA